CTCATGAAATAACTGAATTAAAAAGCTTATAAAAAACAAAATTGTAAATGAAAAAGCTAAATTAATTTAAATTTAATTACGAGATTGGATAGTGTTTTATCGTTTATGATAATTGAATTTTATTGCTGTTCGGCATAACTATAACTCATAATGTCATAGTGAACTAAATCAGCTAATTCATAAATACGTAAAAATACGGGTTGTCTATCACTTACTCTCCACTGACTCTCCTGCCACTGGCTGGTCTTTGCCTCAGTCACCCAGCGGATGAAGGGATCCCAACACCCCATCATATTTGCTATTATTTTACATACATTTCTCACATATTATACACATCTTATGTCATATGGATCTCATATATGCTTTATTTAATACTTTCAATATATGTATTGTTCTCATTTGAATACATATTTCTCTCTAATATGTATATAAATCTCTTTTCCTTATTCTCTCTCTCTCTCTCTCTCTCTCTCTCTCTCTCTCTCTCACCACTCACTTCACAACTCACTCTTCATTAGTCGACTCAATAAATAATTCACTCAAAAACTCATTAAATTTTTAGTGAGATTTGATTTTTTATTTTACTCGATTTTATTTTTAGAAATATTTAAAATAATTAAAGTTAAGGATTGAATTCAAAGATAATTTATCTAAACTATTAGGCGAAAAGCCTGTGACCTCTTATTCTCAACCAAAAAACAATTTTTTATTCAACTTTTTTTCGACAAACTTATCAAATTATTGCCAACATTTTTTGTTTTTCTTTATCGCTTATGTTTTCAGAAAATATTGGATTAAATTTCAAATGAATTTTTAAAATATAAATTATTTATTAAATGATACAAAAAGAGTTTATCTAAAGAAGGAAATTGTAGACCAAGTAAATTAAATAATGTAAAACATGTCCATATCTATTGTTTACAGTTATTTAGACAAACGCGAGAGAGAGAGAGAGAGAGAGAGAGAGAGAGAGAGAGAGTTAAAATGAAATAGAAATTAAATGTCTGAAGTGCTGTATAATTAGGTTCTACATTTTTTACTCTCTCTCTCTCTCTCTCTCTCTCACTCACTCACTCATACACACTCACTCACTCATTCTCTCTCTCACACACACTCACTCACTCATTCTCTCTCACACACACACTTACTAAATCATATAAAATACGAAAATTTGGTTTGAACAGCTAATATTAAATATTTATAATTGTGAATAAGTGTATAAAGAGCTTATAAATAATATTCCACTTCCAGGTGTAGTACACCTGTAGTACGCGCAGTGATGTGAGTGCGGAAGACTACTGGAAGGCATTAATGGCTATAAATGGAAAGTCGGCCAACTTTTGAGAAAGTAGTTGTAGTGGTTGTGCCGCATATGAGCTCTTAATAGAGAGTGATATTACATCTGGTCATTGACTACAACAGACCACACCATAAAACATAATGAATGCCTTTCACTCTCAGTCAGAAACGTCTTATCTTTTAAATACATCTCTGAAGAGAGAAAAGCATTTGAATAATGAATACAAATGAAGAAACTCTTAACACAATTGAATACAAATCGTTAGCAAAAAACACATTTTCCTATTCATGCAATAAAAATAAAAGCATTGAGAGATTTATTATACAAAAAATAAATATTTATTATTTTCATAGTATTAACAAAATGATGGGAAAACGATTGAAAATATTGAATTGAAATGATTTTGTTGTTGTTTAAACTTTTGTTCACAAAAGTGATAACAGCTATACAATAGATTTTCACATTCAATGACAATACAAATGACTAAAAAAAGCATTTCAGGAATCTTTGGACCTAAAAAACGGATGAATTAATACTAAGTCAATGTCATGTCTTATAATTGGTGTCCGAGTGCTAAGACTGTTGTAGTTTTTGAAATGTTAGAGTATTTGGTTTGAATATAATTTAATGAATTCATGCGATATATTATAATCAAACATAACTAACATAAAAACCGAGTTAAAAAGCACTGATTTCTAAAGTAAAGTGCATTTTTCACAGAAACTTATCTCACGCTTGAGTTGCGGTCGAAATTCAATTGTCATTCACAGTAGAAAAGGTATATAAAAATCTTTCGACAATAATATCCTGTTTTAAACTCATTTCCCGTTTGATAGACTTTTTGTTATACATATGCCAACTCAAAACATAGAGACAGATATATATTTCCACTAAAAACAACATATATCTTGAAAACTATTTTAAAGCAAATAATGTTTTGCATTATTTGCACAATACTTGTCGAGAATTGTTAACCTCTAAGGAAATATCGTTACCTTCATATGAATTTAAGGTACACTGAGGCGGAGATAATTAATCAAAAATTTAAATCTCACACTAAAAACATTTCTAAATTGTTTGTAATACTTAATACTTAGTCCCCAAAGTTAGTTGTGAACTAGTTTTACCAAAATTCATATTACGTCACTTAAACACACCGATAGTTTGCTTTTATGAGACCAAAAGCTTAACTTTAAAAAGCTGTTAAATGTCGGAAAAAATCTCCTGATTTTCATCATTAAAACACAAGAAAAAACAAAATAAATGAATAATTAGTAGATTTCACGAGTGTTATCTAAGAGATTGATTTGAATTCATTTCAAAAAGTGATTGTCAAACGTTAAATACAATTATCGGTGACTGTAATCTCAAGATTAAGATCTAACTTAAATACAATGCAAACAAACTTATGTATTATGTATTTAATTATTCAATCGCTTGAAATCCTTAAAGATTTTAAAACATTGATATTATTGGTATTGTATGACACCTTTTCTGTCATATTTTTAACCTCAAAAAAGCAATTCATTTGTAATAATTTATATACAATTAAAACTTTTTAACATTATTTTGATCATTCATAGAAATTGAACAAAAAAAAGATTATAATTTTTGCATAAAAGCATTAAATGATTTTTAATGAATCGACTTCTAGTTTATGACCCAATACTGTAACACATGAAGTATAGAATCAAAACATTTATTGTAAATGAAAATATAATAATTATATGCAAAAAGTAAGTCATTGAGTGAAAAATTCATTCAATACTTCATTAATAAGGAGTTATAATTAAATTCAAATGGATTTGAAAGCATTATATAAAAAAGAGAAAATGTATTCAATATATGGTGACTCACCTAACATGAGGAAAGGTGCTGCCAAATTGATCCCGATCATTTCGATACCGCAATACACAGCCAACCCGAAAGCGGCGGCCACCGCAAAGCCGGCCGACACACAGCCTAACAGTCCGAGCCATGGCTTACTGAGCACCCAATCAGACATCATACACGTGCCCACACTGAAGATCAACATAATGATGATGGTTATGCTGAAGAATGGCACCAATGAGTGGGTATTGGCCTCTAATTCGGTCTGAAGTGTTGTCGACACAAATCGGGCCACAGATATGTTCGTGAATTCATTGCCGGCGATGTGTTTCATGAACGCCTGTTCCCATAGGTTGCCCCTGACGTCACCCTTTTTGATGGTGGTGTCCAAGAAGTACATCAAATGCACGGCTTTGGCCGACTCGACCAAATTGTTGGCGTCCTCTTTGACGCCTCCCAGATATGCGGGAAAGAAGTAGGCCTTATAGATGTTGTGATTGATCCAAATGGGATACTTGAGGAAAAACTTCTTGTCCTCGATGTCTGCGATGCGGTTATCGAAGTCGAGGATATCATTACTCCAACACTTGTAGTCCTGTCGAGCACACAAATCCTCGTACTTCCACTGAGAGTCGTCCCATTCAATGGACATGTTTTTGATGGATTGGTCCAAATGCATGATCTCATCCCAGATATGGCGCCGAAGAATATTTCCATCATCTTTGGCCACTATAATGATGCGTCCGAATCGGCCCTTATGTGTGATTCGTCCCAAATTGAAGTTTGAGGTGTAGTTTATTGGGAAGTAGTCATCGATGATAGCCCTCTCGTGTTTGGATCGGCCATCGGTTGGCGAGAAGAGGTACTCGGGATCGTCTTCATAGTGGAGTCTCTGGAGACCGGTGGCCAGGAGTGCGGCAACAAGTATGGGCACAATCACAAAATATCCCGGATATTGGCCTATTAGTCGACCCAATTTCTGGAACCCTATCGATAGTGTGGTGTCTATACATCGGCACGACATGTCCACACGTCAAGTGATGATCGCTTTTGATCAATGAGTGAACTAATTGTTAGGATTTCATAGCGAAATACTTTAAAGAATTTTGAAATAGTTTTGGGAAAACATAAATATAATAATAAGTTAAATACGAGTTATAAAACTAATTAGAAAATCTTTCGGCACTCATAACACAGAATAACTGGATAAGTGTCGTGTGTTTAAAGCCAAACACAATTTGAATAACTATTTCTCCACTCAATGTTGTGTCTGTCAGTAGACTATATGTACGGTTACTTCACTCACTTCTGACTGACTGGTAGTAACTGTTAGTTAACAGAAGCAAAGAGGAAGTGCATGAGTGGCCCCAACCAGGCATTCACTCAATGAACGGCAATATTCGCCATTCCGTCCCATTTCTGGTGATGTCGAGCAGGTTTAGCACTGGCAGCAGGTTTACGACCACTTCATGCATACTGAATGCAAAGACATAAACAGGTTCTCAAGACAACATCCACTCCTTGCGCGCGCTTTCCGTTTTCAAATCAATAGAGAGAGAGAGAGACAGAGAGACAGACAGACAGAGAGAGAGAGAGAGAGAGAGAGAGAGACCGAATGAAAGCAAAAAATTAGTTTTGATTTAATTTGTTGTTTCGCATGAATTGTTGTTGACTTGTATTGAGAATTAAAGCAAAACTACAATCATTTAATCAATATTTGTTTAGAGCATTGTTTTTGTGCAGTTTTAGCTCATTTCTCAGATATTTTTTATTTGAAACCCAAATAAATCTTTTCTCCAAATATTTGTCATTTTACTGAATGAGTCTTCAATGATGTCTATTATGTCTGTCCTGTCTATCAGGTGTGGGAATGGATGACGCGTTCGTATTGCTGGCCGCGTGGAGGCGAACCAACCCCAGTATGAGTGTCCCCGACAGACTCGGACACACCTACTCCGAGGCCGCCGTTTCCATTACAATCACTTCAGTGACTAATTTCCTGTCATTTATGATCGGAACGATAACACCCTTTCCATCCGTAAGACAATAGAAACACGAAAAGCAAACAAAACATTTGTGTAAAACATTTATGACATCAATATTAGGTACGAATCTTCTGCATCTACACAGCGGTGGCCGTACTCTTCACATACATATATCACATCACATTCTTCGGCGGTTGTATGGCTTTCTTCGGCAACGCCGAGAAACGCAATCTTCACGGCTTGCTATGTATACCCGTTTTGCCCAAGTCTTTAGCAGGTACTGTACCCTACTGTCCCCCAAATGCCATTTCCTTAACCATTAAACGTTTTGCAATTAAAAAAGATGTTAATCTCACAAAAATGTCACTTTTATATAACAAAGCGTTGGTTTAGATTAGAAATGAAATAATAATTATATTTCCATTGTTTAGAGGGAAAGGGATTTTTCTTCCGAATGCTGTGCACGGGAGGGAAGAACCCGTCGGATCCGGACAACCCTAAGGACAATAAGGAACACGTAATGATGCTCTTCTTCAGGGACGTGTTGGCCGTCTCTCTCAACAAAACTCCCGTCAAATTGTTTGTCATATTCATGTTTTTGGTGTATTTGTCGATTGGTATCTACGGCTGCACAATGGTTAAGGAGGGACTCGACCGACGGAAACTGTCTCGCGATGACTCCTATTCCGTCCAGTTCTACGACTACGAGGACCGCTACTTCAGGGAATACCCCTACAGAATACAAGTGGTCGTCAATGAGACACTCAATTACGCCGATCCAGACGTCCAGAAGAAGATTGAAGATATGCTCCAGAAGTTTGAGAGGAACCACTTCGTGGCCGACAAAGTGCTCACCGAGTCGTGGCTCAGAGCTTACCAGACATTCCTGAGCCAAGAGGACAGCTTCCTCTTCCTTCAAGCACTCAATATATCGGATCAGTTGGACTTCAATCGTGGTCTGCGAGACATATTCCTTCACTTCCCGCTGACTGAGCCCTTCCGGAACGACATAGTGTTCAACGACGACGGCTCTGAGATAATCGCCACGCGTTATATAATTCAGACCAAAAACATAATCGACGCCAATATGGAGAAAGAAATGCTAATCGCTTTGCGAGACATCGCCGACAGCTTCCCATTTCCCGTCACTATATTTCATCAATACTTCATTTTCTTCGACCAGTTTGTGTTAGTCCGGAGTATATCCATACAGACCATATCAGTGGCGGCGGCCGTAATGATGATCATATCGTTGATATTCATACCGTCGCCGTCGTGTGCCATTTGGGTCGCCTTTTCCATCATCTCCATAGAGATCGGTGTAATCGGTTATATGACTCTATGGGGCGTCAATTTGGACTCCATATCCATGATTAACTTAATTATGTGTATCGGCTTTTCCGTCGACTTCTCGGCCCATATCTCTTACGCCTACATCTCCTGCTATGAGGACGACCCCAAAGAAAAGGTCAAATCAGCCCTCTATTCGCTGGGTCTACCCATCTTTCAGGGCAGTGTGTCCACAGTGTTGGGCATCATTGCACTGGCATTCGCACCCTCCTATGTCTTCGTCACATTCTTCAAGACTGTATTCCTTGTTATGTTATTCGGTGCCACACATGGAGTACTTCTGCTGCCAGTCCTCCTCTCCATCACAGACCAGTGTCGCGGAAAGGGAAAGGCATCCAACAAATACAAGTCATCCAATTTAGGCCATCAAAACAGTTCACCGTTTTTTGTGGGCGACAAACACTTCGACGGAAAGACTATTATGCAAAACGGAGCGCCCATTTACATCCCTCGGCCCACATTCACCGAACTGTCTGTCGAGCAAAAGATGACTTTCCGTCGACCCGATGATGACATCGCCACCGCATCCAAGAGTTCCGCCTCATCTGATGGCAGTGTTGTCGCTGAGAAAGACCTCGGATTGGGTACCAGTGCTGAGGAATGCAGTGAAGGCAGTTGGAAAGGCAGCAAAAGTCAGTCCAACAATTTGGTTGTTACGAAGCAGTCAGAGATCAACCAAATGGTCGACACCCAGACGGCACCCAATGTTTACGCAAATATGTTGAGAGACTGGTCTCAAGTGAGCGGAAAACAAAACTCAAGCGCCGGTCACACGAACGACGGCTATCTCAGCGATAGTACCGACTTTTACGGCCAATACTCGGCCAGAAACAAGAAGACGTCAAAGGGGTCGGTGCCGTCGACGAGTCAGCACAGGATATCGGTTTACCACCAAATATCTGACGCCACTTACGCCGACCGCAACGTATGGGAGCGCCAGTCGACGCCCGCCACCAAAGCCAAGGCAAACAAGAAGAGTAAGAGTAAAGACCGGCTGGAGAACAGCTATTTGGTTGAAGTTGAACCGACACAACCCACACAACACCGGCGCTCCGCTCACGAAGACCACAGACACCGAGAAAGGGAGAGTAGAGAGAGGGAGAGGTCGGCCCACAATGACATTGATATCCTGACCCCAAATGTACAACAAATCATGTCTTCGCGAATGGATAGGAATATAAGCAACAGATATAATGGTTTTCATCCCCGATAGTAGTGTTGACCCACTCTTTGAGCCCAAATCTATGCAATTAATTAATTATTGTATGATTTAATGCAGAATTGTATTTATTTTTGGGAGCGACTTGGGGACCCCGACATTTGCGAAACTCACTGCTAAGTCAATGAAATTAAACACTTTTAATACTAGCTCTGAAAATAATTGAATTACATTACAATATTCACACCAATCAATAGCTCGCAAATTTGTATAATTTTGGTATTTATTTAAATGGTTTGTTTTTGAAATAATAATTATATAAATTAATTCATTAAATGTTTGGCACACAATATAAGATGATTATAATAACGGCATTCATTGGGAATTCTCTTGAAATGCAATTCAATACTAAACTACAATACATTACAATACCTATTCTTATTAGACATTGAATTCTGTGTTCATATTCATTAGTAAATTGAACTATAATTGTGACTCGTTTTGTGCCAATACAACAGTATATTTAATGAGCTGTTTTGCCAAAGGTTTGCATTCAATTACATTAATGTTAATTTAAAAAATAGACTCAATTTGAATGAATGATTTTCTATTATGAGATTTGTTTTTGGATTCAAAATCAAATGTTCATTGATACAAATAGTGCCCAAAATATAGTTGTTTTTCAATTGAATTATTTAGAGAATTGTTGTGAAAATGAAGCGATATTTTGCTCAAAACGTGTGTTTAAGACCTATTTTGTGAATGTTTTGTCTTTAATACTATTATAAGACAAACTATTATAATATTATAATTATATTATAAATGTTATCACATACTTTGTATCATATAAACAATGCTTTTATATCATTATTAATAATTATATTTTTGGTAATAAACTGCCATGAATCAATGTTTTACTCGTTTTAATTATTCTTAAATAAGTTAAATAAACAATTTGTACAAAAAATATAATAATTTTATGAAAAGCTTTAATGAATTGTAAAGAATTTTGAAACAAATTCTTGAAATTAGTTTTGCATTAAAAAATAAAATTATGAAAAATAATTCGTTAATTCATTTATTGTTTAAATACCACTTGAAGTTAAGTTACAAAATAATTGTCATTTTTATATTATGGCTAATCATTTAATTTTAGGCTAATAAATACTGACTACGAATTATAATTTGTTTTATTATATCAAACAATTATCAGTCAAAGTATAATATAAATTAAGTTGTATGAATGTACAATAAAACAAAATATCATACATTGTGCTGTTTATTTAAAAAATTAACTTTTAATTAAATTACAAATAATTGTTATAATTACAAAACAAAAGGTCAACTGATCTGCAATTACTTGTAATGATATTTGGCTAAATGTAAATGCATTGTAATTCATTGTAATTTGACAGCAATTACATGAAGTTCATCAATAATTACAGTGTGAATGCCTTCAATCATGGCTTATAATAATTAAAACTAATTTCGCGAACAGTTATGAACTGTATTTCACTTGAAAATATTATCGTCTTGAAAACATTTGATAGTTATTATGGAAAATAAAAATTTATTATTTCTAATGACTAATGAGTTGTTAAGACTTACCAGTAGTTATGTGTTTGGGTCACAACTTGGAGTCAGGTTAGGTCAACCAGATTTTAAGGTGTAGTTTCCAGTGAATCGGCATTTTTCACAGTGATTTACAAACATGATTATGACATTAGCAATAACAAGAATGTTTCAGAGCAGCCTAATATGCCCTGAGCACTGGTAACCATATTATTTAGCATTAGATTTCAGCTTTCAATGATTGGAGATTCAAATATCGTTTTTATTAGCAATAAGTGTTTTATAGTTTTTTATCTAAATTATCGGAAGTATAGGAAGTATTCATATATTGGATATAATGATAGAGAAATAGTGTTTTGAACGCTATATCCCATTAAAGGTATGAAGGGCTGTAAAATGCAATTTCAATCTAATAATAACTCCCGAAATACATATTTTGGACAAAAAACTGCTTTTAAATCAATTTTTAAAGTATTCGGAAATCGTTTGACACAAAACATAAACTTCTATAAAGAGAAGGTATTAAAGGAAAAGTTTCATCAAATCGTGTCTCAAATTGCAATCTATAGAAAGGATACACTTTTATGTCGTTTACATTCGATTAACTCTCTTTTCATCACTATTTTTATCTTTTTTCTGACTCTTTGATAAAAAATATCAATACTTTTCTTTTTTATATCAATGTTTACAAAGTATACAAAGTATTTCTATAGAAAAAATGCAATTATTTTCTTAGTTAACTCTACAATCGTTTAAGAGTTTTATTTTCCACATCAAATGATAGCTTTGCTGTGAAATTATTTTTTAATTTCACAACTATATAATTAGCAATTAATTTCAGAATTTAATATTAACTGTCATTTCATACACAAGAATTTGACAAATTTAATTATCTATGGGAAACAACAGCTAAAACAGGTGGAGCTGTAAGGCCTAGAGTTAGACAATAAAGAACTTGAGTTCATATAAACTGACCTTTCACTGTTATTCTGTATATTAAAATACTTCATCTATTGATGGATTTTAAGGAATTTTTTATATTAGTATAGTTTGACTTGAAATTTCATTTAAGATTTAATGCATATCATAATTAGTTTAATCGCTAAAAGTTCATTTGAAGTGAATTTATATAAATTTCAAGTAAATTTACTTAAGTTAGCAAACATTTAGACATTTGCCCTATTGTCTAGCAAATGAGTACAAAATGGTTTTCAAAAACATCTTTTTATTAATTAATTCGTTTTATATCTCAATAGTTGTTGTCAATTATGTGTACATATGTTAGTCTCGATTCATTAAATAATTTAATACTTTATATGAAATAAATGTACAGATCTTTTATATTTCTTTTTTATAATTGTTTTCTTTTCATAATTTTATTATAAAATGCAAAAACAATTTATTTAATAGATTTTAGTCCTAATAGTTGTGAAACGAATGGATGAGATGTTCAATGAATTTGATGTTCAATTAGTTGTGAACTATTGTATAATAACGTTGTTTTTTGATAATAAGTTAATTCATCGTTAAGTATCAGTCAATGAGTGAACAAGATCACTTGTATATTCTATATATTCACACTTTATATTCCGGATACTTTTTCTTGCTCTTCTTCTTAGCCTTCTTGTGGTCTTTGTGTTTGGATTGCGTGGGAGTGGTTGG